CCTTAAGAGGAAGAAAAGTCCAGCAGAAGCAGGCTGAGGGTGTGCAGCAATCTGCTTTAACCTGATATGGTGAGAGCCGAAGAAAGAGCAGCGTAACAAACCTGTATTCCAGTATCTGCTCCTCCAGGGGTTTCTGTGCGCCCTGCTCCCGACTGCGCTCGCTCTTCAGTTCGGCCAGCTTGCTTTCCTCTTCCTCATGTTGTCTGGACACCCACAGAAAGACACATGAGGGTAAAAAACTGAGTCTGACTTGGCCCTGAGTAATCTTTACCACCTGAGGTGTGACACTGCTGCTTTAGCAGAGGCTGGGGCTGACAGTGCAGCAGTCTCACCGCTGAAGCAGCGAGACTTGCATGTAGCTTAGATCTTCCTGCAGTGCCTCACGTTTGGCCGCCATGTTCTTCAGCTTATTAACGTGCTTTCTCAAGGTCAGGTTGTCCCATAAGCAGCGCTCTTTGACCTAAGGAACATTTCAATAATGGCAGCATTGAAGTCAGTGAGCACACAAAGTGTCAGTGTGATAATAAAATAGACTTTTTTATGCTACATTCTTCACAAGAATTTGGATGTTGAAGAAGTTTTTCTGCAATTAAAGGACAACGAGCCCAGAGTTTCCTCATAGACTGTATATAAAAGATGAATGTAGCCACTGTGACGTCACGATTTAGTAAAGAAATCAAAGTTTTAAAGGCTTCAGTAGAGTTATTAAACTCCTGGCATCTCCCTTTTTTAGCAACAAGCAAGAGTGACGAGCAAGCTGTGGATCTGGCTGAGAAACAGCAGCGACCTGTCAATCAAAAGGTAGGCCCGCCCTAACGCATTCCCTGCTTTATCAGCCTAATGAAGACCATAATTTACAAAAATATTTCAAATAAGATTCTATTCAATAAGGTTTAAACTATAAACTCAATCAGGAAAGAGTCGCCCCCTGCTGTTCATTAGAAGCAATGTAGGTTTAAGTCACTTCTGGACTGATTTCATGGGGCTAAAACCATCTTGTATATCCAGTTTGTGGTTTAACTTTTAAATAGATGCAAAGGTGGGTGTGACATCAGCAATGAGAGTAAATAACCCTAAGTTTGAATCAAAACATCGACTCTGATACCTTTTGAGTGTCTATGTCCTGCTGGATGTTTCCCATCTCTGTGCTGATCCTCTCTTTATTCCTCTCAGCCTCTTGGAGCTGAGTCATTGCTGCTCGATACTCTGACTCTTTGTCCTGCAACATTGGCAGACAGATAGTATAAAAAAATAAGAAATCAGCATGATTACAGTCCACATTTAAAATAAATGGATACAGTTGTGGTGAGATAGTCCTAACTGAAGTGCATATTAGTTAGGAAACTGGTGAAACCCTCTAAACACTCAGGAAAGGTGCTTCAGTGCTTCCTTTGTTTAAACAGAAACATCAAATCCCGTTTATCCAGCAGCGATCATCACGTTACCTCTTTGTATTTGTCTCTTCCCTCATCAACATATTTAGTGACGTCTCTTTGCAAAGCAGTGATTTCCTTCAGTCTCTCCTCAGTGTTACGAATCTGTCAGTAACAGTTACAGCAGTTACTTCATAAACATTCACAACTCTGTTTGATAGAAATGCTCTAAGAACATTGCACACATGATGTTATGTTAACCACGGTTCTACGTGCAAATGTATTTTATAACTGTGTGTTATTTGAACTGTGTTGATTCATTGGTTTTGGTTACGAGCAAAGGAACCTGACAATGTGCAGCAGATAGAAAGAAGGACACGTTCCCACTAAAAGAGCATGTATGCATCCACCTTCTTCTGCTCTTCTTCCTCTCTCTGCTTCTTCTGCTCCACCAGCTTTTGCTTTTCCTGCTGCAGCTTCTCCAGAGC